GTATCAGCTCGTGAACCATAGTATATATATATATATATATATATATATACATATATATATATAGATATATATAGGTGTTATAGCGCGCGGTAGTAGCGACGATTCGGAAAAGCCCGGCGTGTAGGCATTCGCCTTACCTCGTCCCCGTCTGGACAGGAATGCTCGGATTGCGAAAAACAATGCCGACCGGGGTACCTAAGATAAAAATAACGGGCTCGTTTTCTCGCATTTCGTTGGCAATTTCGTCTCTCTCTCCCCTTCGCCCTCCAACCACTCTCTCCCTCCCCTTTCGTCTTCTACCACGTTCATACGTTGCCTGGCTGCCACTCTTCTCACGGCGGAAAATCAAAAAGCTTTCGGTTAGGTAGATCTTCGAGGACCCTCGTCCTGCTAGTACCTGACGGCAACTCTTCAGCCTCAGTTTCAATACATCGGTGCTGGCATCGAGCTCGAGTGTTGCAGCAAGAAGCAGGCAGGTGGGTGCCGTCGACTTGTTCTCTCTATCTCTTCCGTCTTCCTCTCTTCTTCTCCTCCTCCTCCTCGATACAACTATTCCCCACCTACCATCTCGTAGAACCGTCTCTTCCCCTTGCTCCTCTCCCTTCCTGCAGCGTCCGCTTACACTCTTTCGTCCGATCGTTGCCGACTTGGCAATTGTGTATCCTCGCGTATCGATGTATCGGTAATCCATAGCGAGTTACCATACCCTGGGTCCCTGGTTTCTTCTGCTACCGTGGCCGCGACCCTCCTTGCACCCTCCTTACCTTTCGCCTCTCCTCTCCTATCTCTTTTTCTCCCGTGCCAACCGACACAGTACCAACCCAACTCCTAACTTAGACACTCCGCCAATCTTTCCCTCGATCTTCCTATCGATGTCCTTTTCTCCATCTCCCATCGTATCGTTCACCGCGTCTTCTTCCCTCGCTCTCGCCCTCTTTCTCTCTTCTCTCTCTTCCCGTCGCACACTTTATATATCGGTCGCCCCCCCCCCCTCCTCTCTCTGTCTCTCTTTATTCCCATTCCCATTCTCATCCTCTTGTTTTGGTCCAATAGTCAGTCGCCGGTCTGATCGATGATACGCCAACAGCCAGCACTGCGCATGGCCGACTAAATACAAACTCACTCCTTATTATACCGGGTGTGCCAATAAAGGGGGTGGTGGCGGGCCAGAGAATGGGAGAGGAGGAGAAGCCCAACTCCGCCGGAGTTTCTCGCTCCTTCGAGTCGACGAATGCCACCATAAAGGATCCTCTCTTCCTCCTTCTACCTCCGCTTCTACCTCCGTTGCTTCTGCAATGCAGGACCCCTCCTCCCCCCCCCCTCCCTCAACCACCCCTGCCTTCTGTATATCCTTTCTTCCTTTACTTCGTACTTCGATCTCTCTGTCCTCTCTTCCTCTTTCTGGCTAAGCTATCCCACGATATGCCGTCCAAGGATAATTCCCGATCCTCGAACATCCACCTCCAACTTCGATCCAACCAAATTTTTTTTCCTCCCCCAATCTCGTTTCACGCGCTCGAGGGGAGTGCGTGTATATCGCACTTGCGACAACTTTCTCGGTTCTTTATCGCGTTCGCTCTCCGATCCTATTACGAGGACCAAAACTTATCGATAGTTTGTTCCAAGCGACGCAAACGAGTTGACAGTTTGTTCTGCCATTCGCGGAAACGACGAATGGCTTGGCTCTCCGTCCAAGAAGGAAAAGATCGAAGTCGAGAGAAGGATAGGAACGAACGATGGCGAGGGAAAAGTCGTTTAAATTCGATTCTCGCGTCGGTCACCGTGAACGGGCGCCGGTTATCGTCGTCGTCGTTGAATGCAATCGCTGAGCCTCTTGAAAATCGAATAACAGCTTTATGATCGCACAGTCATTTACGCGTCAACGAATGGGACGACGACTGGTCACCGAGAGATTTCCCCTCAGAATTTTCTCCCGTCCCGCGCCGCTATTACCATTCGCGCTTTAATCCATCCATGCACGTTTCTCCACGACTCTCCTTTCTTTCTTTTTCTCCTCTTTTCGGATTATTACGATTCCGATTCTTCGCGAATGAATCGTGCTCTCTCGATCGATCGCGTCGAAGATAAATTCTCGAGCGGATGGAGCCGGTAACTGTTTGGAAAATATTATATGCTCTGAATATGCTTAGAGTTGAGTCCTTAGAGATGAAACAATATCGGTGATGTTTGCGCGAGTATTTTTGAATGGAAGGAAAAAAGGCCCCGGCCAGCTTGTTCGGAGGATAATTTCGGGGTGGCGGCGCAAATTGACAGGGCAACGCGTTCCCATTCATTCGAATTACGTTCCAATTCTGCCGGTGACTTTAGCATTGTTGCCACAAATTGGTACACGCCCTGGCCCCCGGCCCGGACCACCCCCACGTCTGTACACACGTTTTGCAAATGATGCGTGTGCGGACCTTTTTAAATAACGTATAACTACGAACGATCACGTATACCGATCGCGGATTACGGGGAAAGAATGTTGCTGACGGGGATTGAATGATGACGAACGAGACGAGTTTGAAACGGCGAATAGTCTTGGAAGCGTGTATATTCTTTCACCATTATTTATATGACTTCGTGTAAAAAATAAATAAAAAATTCTCCGAGAATTTTTACGAGATATCGAGCTCTTAATTTAAAATATAAGGTATTAAAAAAATGCATTTAGGCGCAGCAAAAGTAAAGTAGAAATTTATTATACATCGTGATATTAAGGTATTCGTAATTTAAACAAGAATAATATTTGTTCGTTAACAACGCGAATATAAAAATTAAAAAAAAAAAAGGAAATAGAGAACATTGGATGCCGAAAACAGCCGATCCACCATCGGCAAATTGCATAAGAATATCATTTTCCAGTTACTCGATATCACAGCCAATATCGAGAGCTCGGTAAAACACTGTTTCGAATTGCAACGAACGTAAGCGTTATCGGTAAATAACGGAGGGAGGGAGAAAGGGAGGAAAAAATTCATCGTTTGTCGACGAAACGCAGTGCATCTCGCACACAATTACTAATTTCTCGCTTGCGATTAGTTTACTCGCCTAAGTCGAGGGTGGGTAATGCGCGAAACTTGTTGGAAATCGAGCTCGTTAAAGTTGAAACTCGGATGGAAGCGTGACCGGAGGAGGCGACACGCGTCTCCTCCCTAGGTGGTCCGGTGATCAGAATCGTTAACAAGTAGTCTAACGGGATGCCGAACCGCGAAAAACAGGATAACGAACTGGAAGTTGATCGTTTAAGCGGAATAGTTAACTACGAACTACCGTGGAACCGCACGCATGAAACTGATCGCACGTCGCGCTCCTGGCGTCCCAATTAGAAGACAATGATCGTTAAACGGACAAGTGGGTCTAAAAATATGGGCGGCGGAGGCTTCTCTCTTGAGATTTGGAAACTTTTGTTAATATATAACCGATCTTCCGCTTGACGTGACTTTTACGCCTTCTTGTTTTTCTCAAGCGTCGCTTCGATTATTATTGTTAAATTCTTCTTCGCGTGTAAATTGAGGAAGAAGTTTGTGAATATAAATTTTGGAAATTTCTTCTTCTTCTTTCAGGTCTGGTTTCAAAATCGAAGAGCAAAATGGCGCAAAACTGAAAAGTGTTGGGGCAGAAGTACCATAATGGCGGAGTACGGCCTGTACGGAGCGATGGTACGGCACTCACTACCGCTTCCGGAGACCATATTGAAGAGTGCCAAGGAGAACGAGTCGGTGGCGCCATGGTTGCTAGGTGAGAATCATTGAAAACATTCCGAACGAGAGATAAGCATTAAGTTTTGCTTAACTTCGTGGACGATTTCTTAGATTTCCCCTCTCCCATCTTTAAGAAACGAGAGTCACAGTAGGTAGCTCGATGAAACGCTAAAATTCGAGGATGTTGTTATATTTTTATTACATCGTGTCCGTTATCGTTGTAAAAAGTAAAAGAGAGAAAAAAAGAAGAAAAACTGTTGAAGGGGAAAGCAATGCTTAATGAAGAACGTGGCCCGCCACGCTCGCAGAAAATATACAAGTCTCGACTTTGTTTTTTATGTTCGTCTCTGTCAGCTCAATCATCTAAGACGAGCAGCTTTAGTCAAGATATCGAAAATAATCAAGAACTGATTGACTGTGGCCCCGCAGGGATGCACCGGAAGTCAATCGAAGCAGCGGAACACCTCAAGTCAGGCGGAGAGGACAGTGGAAACGATCATAATGGAAGCGGAAGCAGCCCCCATCATAATCATCATCAAGGTGGACCGACCAGTTCTGAGAGCGGACAGGAGAGTCAGGATGGTATGGGGCCTTCTTCGTCGACAGGTAGAAATCTCTTTCGATGATCTTTCATTCTCTAGCGTATTCCGTGCGTCCTCCATAATCCTCCTCTAATTCTCCTCTTCCTCTTCCCCCTCCTCTCTCTCTCTCTCTCTATCTATCTATCTATCTATCTACCTATCTATTTATCTAATGGAAACTAGAATTAACTTGGTGAAACTTGTGTTGATCAGGAATCGTTCAGGACACGGAGCAGCTGAGGAACGAGAGCATCGCCTGTTTAAGGGCGAAGGCTCAGCAGCATCAGCTGCAATTGAGCCTACAACCAACGGCGGCACCCACCAGCGCCTCGTATCCAACAGGCCCACAATCGAGCACGCTCCACGCCCCCGTTTAATCATCGTTTCATCGACATTCCTTTCACACGAATCATCGAAACTAGGAGACGTTCGACTTAACTTGTAGAGAACACAGCCACGTTCTAGAAACTTCGTCAATCACGTCACGTCACCCCCCGATAACAATAATAATAATAATAATAATGATAATAATAATAATTTCGCGAATCATCCACGCGAATCACCAATATATTCGACTCGGGGTATCACGAGATATCAATGTTCCCGGGAAGATCAGGCGCTTCCCGTCCGAGATCTTTCTTCCCGATCGAGAGAGGAGAAACAAAAAAAAAACAAAAATTCTTCGTGTTTCCGACATATAAATATATTATCGAGTCTTCGATTTCAACGAATCAGGGTAAACGTCTATAGGAGATACCTATCGCTAAGAGAGAGAGAGAGAGAGAGAGAGAGATGTACAGACGGATACACGGAGACCGCGCGCGTATTTACGTCACATTACACAGCACAACGAAAAGAATACGAGTCGAATACTACTCGATCAGGCTGAATCATCGAATAAAACCGGTGATCGATAAACCGCGCCAGGGCCTATACGATTCTCGCGTTTCACCTTCGAGATACGAGTGGACGGAAGGAGGAGGAGGAGGAGGAAGAAGCGTCGAAGGGGGAGAAGCGAGGAAGGAGAATTACTTGGTGCCGGTCCTCATTCATTCAACGAAACGGTGGCCTATGGACGGCCAAGTACAATGACGAATCATCGATCGCGGTGTGACAATGCTCGCCTCCACCCGTCGACACCGGCTCGTTCTCGCGATTCGCTGCGTTCCTCGGGGGCACGCCTCGAAAATATTCCTCGCGCCGTGTGGACGGCGTCATCGAGTGAAATGCGGGAAGAAATCGTTGGAGCACGATCCATGGATCCCACTGGAACGAGTCGCGCCGGTGAATCGACGGTCCGGGCGAATCGACTAATTAGGAGTAATAGCCGCTTTAAATAGTGCGAGTATAAATATATACATATGTATGGCGACGCGTGTATGATGCGACGTGATTATGTCGAGAGAGAGAGAGAGAGAGAGAGTGCGTGTGTATGAAAGAGCGCGCGAGTATGCTTGCGTTACCTTGAAACGAAGATTTCGCCTTTAGGAGATTATTGCCGAACGATTTGCAACGAACAACAAGATAAATAAATTACCACGAGTGAGACGAGTATGCGTATATGAATTAAAATATCGAGCAAGATACATCGAAGCACGAACCTCGAGCATGTCCTCTTAACCGACCTTGTTTTCGACGGGATCTGTATCCTTCTTTCCAGTCAGGGACAAGCGTGTTGGAACGCGTGAAAATTCGAACGGAAATTGCAGGAACCGCGGATTAATCGGTCGTTAATTGTGTACACGGTGAAAGTTGGTTGATACAAGGCGAGAGAATGAGAGTGAAGATGGGAGTGGAGGATGTTCCGCGGGAGAGAGTGCAACGGAAAATGTTTATTAGCGAACACTTCCTATACTCAAGTACTTAAGACGTAACTGTTGTCAAATGTGCAATATATCGGTATAAGTTCTAGATCGGTAAGGCATTACATACTTTATTTACGGATACGCAACTACGTGAGGTGTGGTTTGGTCTGGGTAATGGCGCCTTGACGGACGGGCGGGGAAGGTCCACAGGCTGATTAGTAGATTGATCGTAGGATGCAATTTACGCGGCGTTAACCTTGGAAATTTCTACTCATTGGAACATGATTGGGGGAAGGGGGGATAAAGAGGATCGTAGCAAGGATTCGTTGCGCTCGATACGTACGGTAAAAAGGTAAAATATCGTTTTCTGCTAATCTTAGAGGTATAGAGATTCGTTTGAAAGAGAAAAAAAAAGAAAGTGTAAAAAATTCTTTGGAGAAAATTTCCACTCGCCCTGCATCCTACGGTTAACGCAAAGCAACTACCGAAGTAAGCGTTGTTTCCACAAATATATTAAAATGTAATTTTTATTCTTCCACTATACGAGGCCGATTTTCACGCCCCGTTGGCGCCGTTACCTTACTCCCGCCCACTGTATATAAATATATAAATACAAAGTATATATATATATATATATATAATAAAATATATATAAGGAAAAAAAAATATAAATGCGAATATATGTGGTTACGAGACACCCTAAGTCGGACGAGTCTCTTTGCGTTTTTTTGTGTTCATCGTCGTATCGTGTTTTCAATGATATTTGCTTCTTCTAAATCGGGTCACACTTTTTCGTCGAGTTTCGTTTTTTTTTTTTTTTCTTTTCGATAAGAATGGTAATAATTTCTCGATCTTGATCGGAACGAGGATGAATGATTTTTCGGAATTGGCAGAGGGTTTCGTTCGTCTTAGATCGGCCGGACCATAACACATAACGTAACGCACTATAATTTAAACGAAACAATTACGAGGGATGATGGTAACCACACATGCTCCACAGGGACAAAGGTGAAAAAGAATGGAAGTAACGAAAGGTGGAATAACGCTGTTGTTTGTGAGATAACATTTAACAACGCGCTTCGGATCTCAAATTCGAATTTCCCTGTATCCGAATGCCCCAACGCATGCATAGTAGTCGGCTAGTGTATGTAATAAATAAAATTTCTGAACAAAACGATACTGCCTTGTTATCCATTATCTTGTCTCACCTCGATGCAAGAATATCTCGTCTAAATATTTTAGATACTACGCTGGTGGTATCGGCGTGCAATTAATTAAAGGCGGGGACAATGATTTCTTTTGTGGTACTTGGAAAAACTTGGAGCAAGTTGCGTGGAAATAAAGGGTCGTGACAGTAAACTGCTTTCTGCTTTCGCTATATTAACGATGCGGCAAGACTTTGTTTCATTAAGGCCAACAATTACGTCTAATGATGCCCTTGGATTTTTCAGGGGACGCGTTGAACTGCACTCGATAATTCTCATTTAAAAAACGAATTATGGGCTTCGATGTATTGTGAAATTTTTTTCCTCCTCGCGGTAATGGCACCCGATATAGAAAGTCCTTTGACGCGAAAAAATAATTAAAAGTTTATTAATTATCGCGCAGAATTTAGATTGCGCGATATAAAAATAAGTTCGCGGCCTAAATTTTTTAACGAATGTCCGAACATTGTTAATACGGTTAGAAATTTATAATATATATCGAATTTTTTTTTTTTTTTCTTACTCTTTTTGTTTGTACCCTATCTGTTCGATTCTCATTTTTCCTTTTTTTTTTATCTAGTTCCTTTTCGTCGCAATTTTACAAAGTATTTAACGAAACAAAAATATATATTTCGTCGTAGAAAAATAAATTTCTGATTAATTATCACGTTTCGTAAATAAGAAAAATTTATAGAAGGAATATTTATTCCTTCGAAGCGTCCATATTTGATAACATGGCGACATCTATGAACGTACCGATTGCTTACAAAGGAAGTTAGCGTTTGTATTACCTGCTGACTTCCTGTTCGAATTCGTGTAACTTGTTCCCCATCGATAACTTATCGAATATTTTTTGTATCGCTAGAAGATAATTAGAAAAAAAAAAAAAAAAAAAGTATAGAAATTTTCAATATCCTCCTTATTCTCCTTTTTGTTCAAAATTTGTTCAAAAATCGAAATTTCATTCTTCGATGTCAACAAGAAAGAAAAAAAGTATCGAAATTTAGAAAAAGGTCACCGATGATTTGAACTTTACGTTTATTCGGTATATTTCTTTATATATTAGTACATGTGATATTAAGGACGCAGTAATATATTAACTGAACATTGATTCTTGCAGGGTTTTCGTCCCCATCCGCAAGAACGAGACATCGATACTGAATATTTACAAAAATACAAAAGCTTACAAAACATCGACTACTATACAACGTACTCTTTTTTATCTAAACTTTCTCTCTCTCTCTCTC